TAATTTAAACAATTCCTACTAGAAAATAGCAGAAAAAAAGAACCAAAATTCCAAAAATAAAAACTTTTTTTTTTTTTTAATAAAAATTTATTTATTTAGTAAAAAAGAATTTGTTTTCATCGATATTTTAAATGAATTAAAAAATTTTTTTGCTTTAAAGAAAAACGATTTCTTCGCCTATTCATTGTTTTAATTTTTCTTTTTTATTTTTCTATGGCTATTCGCAATCATCAAAAATCATTCGTATTCGACGTATCATATCAAATCATTTGTTTCTTATCAGTAAAATAAAATTAATTTTTGAATAAATCCGATAATCGCTTAAATATTTATTAAAATCGAAAACGATGACAAAACCTCGAAAGCAAAAAACGAAAAAATGACTCTTTCGTTGGGAATGTAGAAAAAAATCGTCTAATGCCAAAATAAAAATGCCATTATTAATACCATTTTTCCTGGACAAAAACACAATATTTATTTTCACTCGCTTTTTCTTTTTTTAAATTATCTTTTTTTTTGAAATTTTAAAATTTAAATTAAATTAATTTTTATTTTTTAAATAATTTTAATTTTTTAATGAAATTCTTTAATTAATCGCATTTTTTAGCAAATAAATGAAAATATTAGTATTAATATTAGAATAATTACTAATAATTATCAATTTTGAGCAAATAGCTCAACGAGTTATTACTTTCATTTGTGAGCGCCGATATTAGAGTTCGATTTTCAACAAGGATAAATCTACTTTTCAAAAATCGGTGCTAGCGGCAAAATGCTCTTGAAAAAAGTTGGATCATGGATAACCAAGCTTTTAAATGCTATGCCTTTATTATGAGCATATTTCCCTAGTAAATTATTCTAAAAGCCTGAAACTCCAAAAAACTCCAAATTTAGCCAGTAATTTTGAGGATTGATTGTAAATATGAATTGACGGTTGTAAGTTTAAACGATATTTTTTATTTCGATTATTTTTGTTTTTTAATGGTTTATTTTCAATATTTCCCTATTTAATTTGTAGATTCTAGTAAAATAAAAAAAAAGCAACAACAAAGCGTGGTTTGCATTTTTTTATAATTGTAATTAATGGAAAAATAATTTAAATTTAAAATATATTTTTAAATTTTAATAAATTTAAAATATATTTTTAATATTTTTATAATCCTTTTTTTAAAAATTAACAACTACAATAATTTAACCAATAGAGCATTAAAATGGTTAGCGCTTAGCATTTCGTGAAAGTTGTTCCACTGGAAAAATCCTTAAAGAAAAATTTGATAAAAAGGTGAAATATGTCACCAAAGCCACTCAGTGAATTGATCTAAACATTTAAATATAATTGAAAATGATGTACGCTTGGATTTTAGCCATAATAAATAATAAGTTTTTCAGGATTTTTTTTCCTCTAGTTTATTGGTTTGCTTTTATCGTATGAAATCAACATTTTCTCCTATGAGACCTATTCTTTATTGTTTGATTTTTATTTGCGAGCAATAATAATATTTATATTCTCTTTTTTTTTAAAAAAAAAAATTAATCTAAATTAATTTAAAAATTAATCTAAAATAAAAATTAATCTAAAAATTAAACTAAAAATTTTTAAAATTTATCATTTTTTTTATTTGTTTATTTTATTTATTTACTTTTTTTTATTAAGAGCGCGCTTATCATTTTTGGCAAATTTTATCAGAGAGAGTTATTATTTGGCGATAGAAATACAAAACTAATCGATAGTACCACAAAGATTTTTGAAAATTTAAAAAAATTTGCTATATTGAAAGTCGATTGCCAACATTCCAAAATGAGAGCGTAAATTCATTTCTTATTATAAGTAATCTTAATTTTGACAATTCAATTCAAAGATTATTGATAATGGCTGACAGAAATGGACCAAGAGAACCAAGAGAATTAAGGAGATTTTATAATGATTATGAAGCAGTAGCGAAGATAAATCGACTTCTACAAAAATCTAATCGAACCAGAAATCTATTAGCAATAATTTTGTTGATCGTATTGGTAATTTCAATTATTATTGGCGCCGTTTTAAGCATTATGCTTTTCAGTGAGAAAGGTTTTTTATTAAATTTTTAAAAAAAATTTTTATTATTTTATAAATTCTCCTTTTTATTATTTTATAAATTCTCCTATAAAATTTGCAATTAAATCTCTTATATTATAAGAGATATCAGTAATAGAATGAATGATAAATGATAAAGCGAATGAAATCGGTAACATTTAGTATTTCGTGCTTTCTCCATTAGCCACTAGAATAGCGAGAAATTTTTGTCAAAGAGTGTCTAATAGATGGAACTATCAGTTTATGAATATGAATATCAGTTTCTAGCATCATAACAATTTTGTTGACAATAGGCTTGCTTCTTTCGGAGGACAAATAAACCGAGATGACAATATGAATAACACAACTATTATGCTTTATTTCAGATTAAAATAAGCCAAAGTCAAATATATTATGTAATTCAACAAATAAAATTTCACAAATTTCAGAGGCCATTACTAAACCAAATGTAACAATCCATGTAACGTCAGCATTTTACATCGGACATTCGAACGATGTAAGCATTTTCCGAACCTTTTTTTTTCTTTTTTCTATTCTTTATTCTTATTCTTATCATTCTTATCACTTCATAATTGTATTCTTTGATAATTACAGTATTTGGATTGAATCAGTATTTTTCATTTGATTAATTAAGAAAATTATTATTTATCATTTCATAGCGCTGAAACTGCAGCATTGTTTTCTAAGAAACAAATAAATGCTGATAAAGCCAGCAACTTCTATCATCAAAAGATTTCCTGGCAAAATTTGTTTAGTCCAAAGCCAATTAAATGAGGCAAATATGAAAAATTTTAGAAGGCAATCAAGTAAACCTTAGAGATAGGCTAAAAAAATGAATGAAAAAACAAGTCATTAACAAAATGGCCATCTATTTTTATGGGTTTATTCAACAGGATATTTAGCATTCTTTCGAACATCACTCTTCCATTACGGTTTGGTTAGCTCCACTGGCTTTTTAAGAAGAGAAAACACTTTTCACGACAGAGATAGGTGCCAAATTTTTCGGATTTAGATTAGAGGTTCACCTTGTAAAGTGTCAAAAATTGAACCATTCGACCATGTTGATCTTGTTCTATCTCGAATGAATAAAATCGGCTAGTTCGTTATCAGCGTTAAATAAGACAAACAATTTTACTACCCTCACTTTGTTCCCCTAATTTTTAGCTTAGCTTAAAATTAAATAAGTTTTTCAAGTCCAACGTGATGAATAATAGAAAATCTAATCTAATCTAAATAAACAAAAAAAACAAAAATTTCAATTTAGCCTGAGGAAAAATTTTTTATAGAAATGAAATATGAAGAAATTTTTCCATTTAGATCCCTCATGATTGCCTAATTTCTGGTTAGATAAATTTCTCTGGCAGTCGGCATAGCCCTGAAATTTTGATGATAGAAATGCAACTGATCACTTGGATTACTTCTGATAACTCGAAGATAATCAAGTCGGTAATTCAACGATAATCTAAATTATTAACTATTTGCCAACCTTATTCAAACGATTCCAAATATATTATTATTATTATTATTACTATTATTATTATTAATATTATTATTATTATGAATTTGAGACCTTATTCAATATGATGAAATAAGCCGGATTTTTAATATAAAAAAAAGGAAAATTAAATTTTTTTCCAGAAAATGCGAATTATTATTGAAGAATTAATACGACGACGAGCCGATGGATCAGTGAAATTTTCTTTTGAACCATTTTCTAATTCGTCAAACGTTTTCATAACAGCTGGAATCACCGATATGAAACAAGCAATCAAAACATTAAATTTTGTTTTACAAGCAAAACAAATTGTCGACCCAGAACAAAATTTGTAATAGCAAATAATAATTTATATAATTTATAATAATAATTTATTATAATTATTTATTTAAATTTATTAATTTATTTATAAATTTATTATAATTATTTATATTAATAATTAAATAATAATATATAATAATTATATAATAATTTATATAATTTATAATAATAATTTATTATAATTATTTATTTAAATTTATTAATTTATTTATAAATTTATTATAATTATTTATATTAATAATTAACAATTTATAATAATAGTATATAATTACAATAATAGTAAAAAAAATGCAACGCACAGTAAATAATAAATAATAATTAATAATTATGATAATAATTGAATTATAATTATTATAATTAATAATAGTTAATAGTAAGTGAAGAATATAGAAAAAATTTTGCTATTTATGAGTGTTCCCTTTATTATTTTATATTGTCTAACATTTGACCCTTTTTGTTATTTATGTTGTTTAAGAGCAACTCACAATTATTGGTTCGAATTGATCCTCTGGCTTATCGCTATTAAATAAATTTGGCAAGAAATTCCTTGGTGATAAAAGCATAAATGATTCACCAGCATTATTCGATCTTAAATTAAAAATATAAACAAATAAAAATAATATAAATAATACAAAATATATAATAATAAAATAAAATAAAATATAAAAAATTATTTTAAATTAATTAATTAAAATTATTTAAAATATTTTAAAATAAAAGAATATTAATTCGTTTTTTTATTCATTTAAATGATTAAACAATAAAAATATTTAAATTTTTTCTTAAAAAAAATTTTTAAAAATTATAAATCTCTTAAAATTTCCAATTTTAGTGCAATATCGTTTTATGAAAAATATCGCGAATCACTGCGACTTATTCCCTCCATTCATTTATTTCTTCTCTTCGCCACTGAACCAAACGATTACAGGTATTGCTGCTTCGTAATTTAAAGAATTCGACCCTATCGCAAGTACCATCAAAAAACAATAAATCAAAGCAAGTATTAGATATTATTAAAAATTTTATTCTTTCAGCAATATGCAATTATATAAAGAAGATAAAAAATATTCAATTCAAAATCTACCCGAAAATAACGAAAAGCAAAAAACTTTAATTATCGCTAAAAAGCGAAATTATAATATTCCTGGTTTTATTACCATCGATATAGATTGCAGTATCGATACGATAATAAAAGAGATCGAAAACGAAATTGGTAAGTTCGATCTTAAATTAAAAATATAAAAAATATAAATATAAAAAATAAAAATAATATAAATAAAATAAAATAAAAAATATAAAAAAATATAAATATAAAAAAATATAAAAATATAAAAATATAAATATATCAATTTTGCTATAAGTATAAAAAATTTTACGAGTGCTAAATGATCCTTTGAATGGTTCTTCTAATAGAGCTGTAGTAATCAACCTGTTATTAAAAAGTTTGCAGCTGTTTCAATGATACACCTGTATTTCTATACAGCAAATGAAGTTCTTTAATAAAAATTTCTCATCGTAGTAATGATTAAGTGAAATCAAAAATGATAAATATTAATCATTTTAAATATTAATATTAAGTATTAATATTAATCTTGTAGTAAATAAGCAATGTATTTAAGAGCAAATCTGTTTGATTGCTTTAGAATTCCATTAAATGTGAATATATTCTTAAATTTAAAAAAAATATCTAATAAATTTCATCAATAATTTGTTTTCTGTTCAAAATTTAAAAGATAAAGCTTTATCAGTTTTATTAATTAAATTTCATAATAATAAATTTAATAATAAATTTAATAATTAAATTTAAAATTTCATGCATTATCAGTTCTGTTTTTGTTAAATTTCATTAAAAACATAAAACTTTATCAGTTCTGTTAATCAAAATTTATTATGAAAAGAACTTTAAAAAAAGTGGAAAAAGCAAAAAAAAAGTAAAAATCAAAAGAATCAAAAGAAATGAAAAAAACTTTGTAGTTTTTAGGGTTACCAAAAACTTCAACGAGCACGAGCATATCGACAACGATAACTGAACCAATCACAAAAAATACAAATACTCCGACAATAACTCCAGTGATAACCGAAACATCAAAAACAACTTCAACTTTTAGTATTCCAATAACAACTGAATTTACCTCATCGAATACTGGTATTTCGACAACAAAACAAGTTCCAACAAGTTCTATTAATCCAATAACTGAAACAACCTCAGCGAGTATCAGTACTTCAACAATTGAGCCCACTTCAACAAGCTCTGCTATTCCAATAACAACAGAACCATCAACAACAACATCAGGCACAAGAATTCCAATAACAACTGAAATACCCTCCACAAGTACAGGTATTTCGACAACAGAGCAAGTTTTAACAAGCTCTACTATTCCAATAACTGAAACAACAACCTCAGTAAGTACCAGTACTTCAACAATTGAGCCCACTTCAACAAGTCCTATTATCCCAGTTACTGAAACAACCTCGGTAAGTACCAGTAGCTCAACAACTGAGCGCACTTCGATAACCTCTGCTATTCCAGTAACAACAGAACCGTCAACAGCAATTTCAGGTTCAAAAATTCCAATAACTACTGAAACAACTTTAATAAGTAACAGCACTTTAATGACTGAGCCGAATTCAACGAGCTTTAGTATTCCGGTGAGATCTGGAATTTCAAGTTCAAGTATTCCAATTACATTTCCAATAGCAACCTCAATATTTATCAACCCTTCAACAACTTTTGAGTCAACTTTTGCAAGTATTCCCACAACAAGTACCAATAATCCTATAATGCGTATTACCTCAAAGAAAGCCATTACTTCAAGAGACCAAGTTTTAAAGAGAGCCATTGCCAAGCCAACATTTGTGGAGTCAGGAAACTGGCTTTTGCCTTTTAGTTCCATTCGAAGGAATTTGTAGTAAAGTTATTTAAAATGTAAATATTAAATATTATTGTTGAAAAACAATTAAACATATGAAAAAATTCAAAAATATTTTCAATATTTTTGCAGAAACTATCAAAATTAAATTTTTTTTCAGTATATCTTTTAATGATAACCCATTTTTATCAAATTTCTCCGAAGAAAATTAGCTATAATATTTTGAAAAAATCGTCTGAAAGTCTTTCATATAAGACATTATTAATTATTTATGTATCGAAAAGATTATGGATTGAAAAAATCCGAAAATATTTTAAAAATAATTAAAATTTTTATAATTGTGTTGTATAATTAGATTATTGCTATTTTTCTAATATTGTTTGTTAATTTATTATTTTTTTAATAAAAAATTTTCGTATATTCATACATTTCTATTTCCTGCTTTATATCATCGTCGATATCAACTTTTCCAAAATTTACCAAGAGGATGATAAACCAGAAAGAAGTTATTTTTTGCCCCACAAGATAGGATAAGGAACAAACTGTGAGGTTATGGAAATTGATGGCTGTGAAACCATAATGATTCAATTTGGTTCTACTTTAGTAAATGACAGAAACGAACTAAGAACATGTGCAGGTTTTCCGACTCATTGAAAAAGAGCTTATTGGTATCCTATGCAAAGGAATTCCAAGGTACTGAAGAAATATTTGAAAATTTTAATCTTTTAGAATTTTAATTTTAGGAAATTTATGAAATTCTTTGGATACTGTTAAGCCCTATATTTAAAATATGTTATTGATACCGATAAAGAAGAGAAGTCATGGAACTTTTATTTTGGAGTTAATTTTCCAGAGCTGAACAGATATTCCTGTAGATTATGCCAGATAGTTGGTTATGACTTTAAATGAGCGTTGTTTCTGCTTGCATTTTACAACTTGCGACTATGTGTAGGAATGTTTCAGAGTCCACCTCTCCACCTTTACTCCTGTCTAGTGCGATAGATCCTTACTTCAATGAATCTGATGCTTAGAACATAATTTTATGCTGCTATGATCAATGATTATTGCCAGTGCTGCCTTTTCATCCAGCTTTTTCCAACCGCTGATAGGATTTCATGGTATTTCCTCTACTAGGTCTTTTCCCAATATCTGTAGATGCTTCAGACATTCTCTCAGCAGCTCACCCGCTGATACAACTTTGTTGATGTATTCCTCAATTTTCATGCTCACCAAACTCCACCCACTTTCCTTCCGAATATCCGAGCTATCGACTTTGAGTTAGATTTTGGGATGGAAATTTCCGTGCATTATGAGGTTAAAATAATAACTGGAAGAAAAATAATTTTTTTCGAAAAAATTTTTTCCGCTAAACATTCCGACTATGATCGATATAACCGCACATTCAGCCAGGCTGGCTGCATGTTTGAATACGAGAAGCATGCATAAGAGAAACAATTTGAATCCAATTCAGAGGATGAACTGTGCTTGATCCTTCTTCCTCTCCTCCACCCCCAACTCGTACCTCCTCCCTCGCCTAAAAGAAGATTTATGGCGGCAGAACGGATTTTCTCATTTCCGCATCTGCAAATGACTATTTGGCGATTGAAGTTATATCCAAAATTTTTTATTTCAGACGCGCTGTATTTTAGTAAAGGGATACACACAAGTAGGGCTGCATAATAGAACTAAAGCCGCTGTCGAAAGCGAAATAAGAATCCGCGACCGAAGAGACCTTTTCAGGGGAGGGGTAGGGCAGGGGGAGCGAACTAGGGGAGGGGAGTAGGAGTCGGAGTGGAGGTTTTATGTCTCGTTGATGTTATAAATTCAGTTTTTGGGAAATGCAGTTTGCTCTTCCTTGCATTTTCAAAATTTTCTAATAAGTTAAGGATAATTTGAAATTTTTTTTACTTTTTTTTCTCATTTTTTGAAAAATTTTTATCAAATTTATGAAATGGTTTACCGCAAATCGTAAATAGGTAAAACTTAAAAACTTATGTGGAAATTATTCAATTATAAAATTTTTTTAGATTTATCATCGATGTGATGATGAAATTTTTTTATTCCTTTGTATTGTTTTCCATATTTTTCGCGTATATTTATTTTGAATCCACTGATAAAGAAATGATTGCTGATAAGAAGTTTTTGGCTTATCCAAAAATTTTTTTTAAAATAACAATTTTAGGCATATATAATGGGTGATGGAATTCAACAAAATACTGGTGGAATGTCAACGAATGTGACACCTCGATTTCGTATCGTGCCTGGGCCTGTTTTAGGCGAAAATGTTCGTTCAAATGCCAATTTGCGCACCTCAACTTTATCAACTTCCGTAGGTGATTCACCTTAGAAATTTATATTTCTCTAAATTCGTTCAGGAACAATGAGATATAAAATTCAGATTGTTTGTGCACGATACCTAATTCGTCGATGTTTTAAAAGTTCTGTTGATTCATTCATCGATATATAATTTATAATGGGAAGCAGAAAAAAAAAAAAACATCATAAGATTCTGTTAAACTAGTTTTATTTGGAATCAATTTGGAAGTCTTTTAAGATATATAGGCTGATTTGATATTATAATGTCGAACTGTTTATAAAAGCCAAGAAGAATTATATGAAAGTGGACGAATTGTTAAACATTAAACTTACCGATCTGTTTTAAAATTTTACTTGGTTTATAAGTACTTTTCCTTCAAAGGCAAATGTATATATTGGAACCAGTTTTTAGGCTTTATCAACTTCGTTTAGTAGTCAACAAATCTCAAGGCAGAACGATATCAATGGCAATAATATTCCTTTATGTGCTGCTGTGAAACAAAATGTGCAGTATGTTGTAATGAATCAAGGTTAATCAAGTTTTTATTTCAGAAATTATCTTTTCTTCGAATAATTTCCATAGTCCATATGTTCGAATTCAAAATGTCTTTATAAAATGTCTGTATCCGTAATACATATCATAATAATATATAATTGTAGTGCTATATTACCAATATTATGGTACCACACTATGGTACCACATAAGGATACAAATATTTGGCAAATATTTGGCTGGAAAAGATAGCCTTTTTATTAACAATCAATCAATCCTTTTTTAGTCATTTCAAAATAATTGAATGGTTTTGAGGGTGGAATAGTATAGTGGGTTATTTTCCTCATTTTGTAGCACTGGGGCCCTATTTTCCGTAGGATTAACCATTTTTTTAAAAAAATCTGAGTGATGCTGGCGGTTTACCTATATTTCCTTCTCCAATCTCTGGCATAATTTGTTTGATAGCGAGATAATTAATGCAAGCCTATGGAATGAGATTAATCGGAAATAATTAGATAGAGAAAGAAGAAAAAATTCGTTTTTTGGTATATTATTATTATATTCCATTTTTTCCTGTTTACATGGCTGCTTTATTATTAAATAAAACAATGTTTTTTAGCCACAGTAGTTCTATATTTAGGAATTAGTCATTTTAGTAGTTATAAATTATGACAGTCATTTTTAGGTCCAACCAATCCTCAGATGTTAACCACTGATCAGTATGGGAATGTGGTTACTGGAAACCACCAACAGATGGCGAATATGTCACATGCTCAGCAACAACAGCAGCCACAACAACAAATTCAACATCAAACACAACAGTATCAGACACAGCAGCAACTTCAGCAACACCAACCACTCCAACAACAACAGCCATTATTATCACAACAACAACATCAATCTCAACAGCAACAGCCATTGTTATCACAACAACATCAATCTCAACAGCAGCAACCGTTATTATCACAACAGCAACAGCATCAATCTCAGCAGCAACAACAATTACTATCACAACAGCAACAGCATCAGTCTCAACAGCAACAACCATTATTATCACAACAACAACAGCATCAATCTCAGCAACAACAGCAGTTATTATCACAACAACAACAACAACAAACAACCTCTTCAACAGCCACTGCTGCAGAACATGCTAGTATGGTGTCTAAATGTGCTCGTTTCTTTCGAACACTTTTGAATTTATCAATTCAGCATGATCAAGCGCAACGAGTCATTGAAAGTGTCAAGGTAGATTTCCCATTTATTTTGATTTATATTTTTTGGTAATGAGTGTATCCAAATATCCAAAGTAAAATCATATTTATCAAATTATGTTAGAGTTAATTAATAAGTAGAGCTTTATTTGAATTGTTATTTATCTGCTATATGCTGCTTTCACTAGTTTAATTTTTCTTCTTACAATCGTGGTTAAAGTTAAATGTATTTTGACTTATGTAATTCGCAGTTTTTAATATCAAGAAGATCTAAATTCAATTATTTCTTGTTGCAAAACTGGTTTAAATAAAAAGATGCTGCTTTCATTAGTTTATCTATAAAAAATAAGATGGCTGAACGGATAATTTGTTTTTTTAATTTTTGTTAGGTTTGAAAAAGTTTTTATCGCTAATTCTTTTTCTTCTTTTAACAGCCCTCACCATTACTGGTTAGGTTGGCTCCAACGACTACAAGGATAAGACTCTTCCAAGCGGCGCAGTAGAAGCCATTCCTTTTTCCATCGTTTAAGTCCATATATTGCTGGTCCACCTATACGTTCAAAATCTTTTTTGACCGTATCAATCCAGGTTTTAATTGCCTCACCTCATTTTTGACATCATCGCATCCATCCATCTCAGGGTTTAGCAAGTAACGAAAATATATTTTAATTCTTGTGCTGGATGTTGCAGAACATGCCTTAACCAGCGAAGGCGATGATCATTGATAGTACTATAAATGCAAGTGGTATTCGAATGTGGATGCGATCATGTGAGATTTTATCGACTCGGCGAAGCCGTAAAATATGGTTTACATGAGTGGTCAAAGATAGATAATTTCTTAATATCCTCCACTCTAATTGGCCATGTCTCGTAGCCACATAGTAAAATCGAACGAATCGCTGCTATATAGACACAGACTTTAATTTTTATGGCGAACTTGCGACGGCTCCATAAATGTTTCATCAGCCGGAAAAACGCATTTCTAATTGCAGTTATCTTGGTTGTAATTTCGTGCTGATAAAATTCCTTTATAAATCGAATGATCTTCTCTGGAATACCGTTGCGTTCCATCACCCTTCAAAGCGCGATTCTATCAATTGAAGTCAGCCGCAAAGTCGATGAATGTAACGGTGGGTTTCAGATATTTGAAGCGATGTTCCATCACCCTTAATCTGAATATCTGGTCAGCACAACCGCGCGTAGTCTGAATCCAGCTTGATTAAGGCATATCCTGCTGTCCCGTACTTCCATAAGTCTAATGAGTAAAAGAAGAAAAAATTTTCGCTGAAAGTCGGTCTAGTAGGCTGATATGGCCACATGGCCAACACCTCGTCGCTGGTGCAGAAAGCCGTTTCCCTTGAGCAATTGTCCAAGCAAATGTGCTTGCGAGCACATTTTATTTATGAACCTTGCGATCGTTTTACGCGGGGATATACTTATCGCATGTACCACCGGTTTCAAGAATATCCCTTTCACCATAGAGTCACTTGGGGATAGGGTTACTGGTAGATCCCCAGTAGTCGCCTGGTTTTTTGATGTGATAGGTTTACTTCTGTCGAACATAAGCATAATATAATATTATTTTATAATATTATATTATATTATATATTATTTTATAGTGTTGTTTATTAATAGCACAAGGTGGAGAAAGATAAAAAAAATCTAAATTTATTTAAATCTTATGTATATATATTAATTATATAATAATTATATAATATATAAATATAATAATTACATAAAAAATATATATATATATTTATATATTTATATTACATTTTATTTCATTTTTATCATTTCATCATATTTATATTTCATTTTCTTAAATTTAAATTTAGAAAAGAAAAAGAATTTAAGAATTAATTTGAGAATTTGATTTTTCATATTTTTTTTAGTAAATGATACTTAAATGAGTAGTATAGGTGTTTAATATTTATTTAATTGATAATTTTTTGAATTTCTTGGAATTTTTCAGAAGAAAATTTTATTTTTATGTATTTTAATGAAAAAATATTTAAGGAATTAAGGCTTGAAATTAAAAGGCTTCATTTTTTAAAAGAATTGATTTAGCTAGTTATTTATGGTTCAATACCACCAGAAGTCTTCACAGTGCGATTGCAAGAAGCTCTTAACTCGCAAGCTCAGCCTCATCTGTTGCCTTTTTTACAAAAGGTGAGAAAATCTCAGAATATTTTATCTAATTTTATATCAAGTCTAAGGCCTCATCAAGATAAGGAAATTTAGTGCTATGATTTGTTATCTACTCATTAAATAAAAATCGTAGTTTTGTGGTCAAAAGGAATAATCTGTTATAAAACAATAAATAAATTATACATAAAATTTATCATTATGATCAAATTTTAAAGACATTACCAGCATTGCGAACTGCAATGCAGAAAGGCGAAGTTGTTCTTGAAGGTATAAATCCACCAAGTACCAATCAAATAATTGAAACTCAGTCAAATAGTCAATACGAAACTGTTCGACCAAATAATGAAAACAGTTATATTACGCAAGTAAACATCTTTAATTTTATAAATTTTGCTCATAGAAAGTGAAATTTATGAAATTTTTTAAATTAAAAATCAGTTGAAAATTGAAATGATGGAAAGAATTTGAATTTGCTTGTAATTATTTTCAAAAAATTGATTGATTTTTAATACTGACATCTTACATAATAACTAAATTTTGATTTTGAAAATACAAATTCTGTGGAGCTGAGTTTTTTTAAAATTGCTGTTATTGCGGGTATTCATAAGTTTAACAGAATTTCTGAACTATTTATTTATGAAAGAAATTCTAGAAATAAACATTAGAGAAGGAGAAAGAAGCTTTTGGTTTATTTTTTTCCACCATTTTTTTCTCATTTTTCCCTTTTTTTCCTCACTTTATGTTGATGATACTATTTATGTTGATTTTAATCGATTAGCAGAGACCTATAGCCAGTATTGTACAGCAGAATGTAACTGGAACAAAATCAGTGAAAGGTGAACTGGTTGATGAATCGCAGGTTGATGGTAGTGAAATGAATTTAAGCGATGGTGAAGTGCGTATACTACCTCCAAATCATATTACACGCTTGCTTAACGCTGATATAATTGCAAGGTTTGTGCTTTCAAATCAGTCAAATCATGAAATTATTAAAATAGAGGATGATGGAAAATCACAAAAATGATTTATTTGGTTTGTTACAGTAGTTTTGCTTATATATTTTTTCTTTCGTCAGAAAAATTCAACGGGTAATGCCAGATGGCGGTCATCCTCAAGATGATGTGGTCACAATGATTTCGCAAGCAGCTGAATATCGATTGAGGAACGTTTTGGCCCGTCTCTCTGTAACTGCTGAACATAGACTTGAACCACTTCGTAATCATCCATTTTATGAGGTATTTATTAGGTCTACTTTTTAATTTTAATTTATTAGTGATGTTACAATCAGCTTTTAACTCTTTTTTTTTTTATTTGACTGGCATAATGCGGATTCCTGTTACAGGTGATTGATGATACAAGAAGGCAGCTAAGATTTGTTGAAGAAATGGAAAAGCAGGAACACGAAAAGCGAGAGAATCGCGAAAAAGAGGCATTAATTCGTTTAAGTAAAAGTAAAGGAAAGGACAAGGAAATCATTGTAGAAAAAGCTAGACAGGTAGATTATTCTCTCGCATTATCAGCTGTGCTTGAAAATTCCCTTTTTTCACTATTTGTATTTTCAAAAAAAATTTGTGTAGCCATTTCCCATGTTTTGCATGATATTTTTTCATCATTGATGGATTTTAGGAATGTATGAAAAAGATCTTCTTTTAATGGTAAATAGGATTATTATTTAACGAAATTTGCATCTAATTTATAATAAATATTGTAAAAAAGAGTATATTTAGAGATATTAAAATATTTGCAGCTTCAAAGAGCTGACCAAGAAGCGGCACGAAATCGTGATGCAAATGCTGCAGCAATAGCTGCCTTAAGCGGATCGAAAAGTGTGAAACGTACTTGGCAGGATGCAAATAATCCACTGGAACAAGCCGCTGCAGTAGGACTTTCTACACAAGTTAATAATTTTTCTTTCTTTGTTTTTATTTTTTAAAAAATCTAGATTATAATAAATTTGAAAAATAAAATTAATGAAAAATGCTTCTATTAGATATTACGAACGAGAACGAAGAGAGTCACTATGAAGGACTTATATTATGTGATTAGTACAGATCCAATAGCGAAGAATTCACAACTACGACATCGTTTGGAACTTTTCAGTAGTGCCGCTGATGCTATATCTGTATAAATTTCGTTTTTATATTCTTATATATGTATATAAATATATATTTTTGATGATTATTATTCTCAGCTCAAAGTTATTCAATTTCCTCTATTGTTTTTGAATGATTTAGTACTAAGTTAGTAATTAGGTTTAACAAATCATTCCCTTTTTTCTCTCTTTTTTTTTGTTTTTCCTTCTTTTCTGTTGTTCATGAGATTTTTTATTAAATTTTTTATTCATAGGACAAGAAATAGAAATCGTCTTGAATTTTATAATATCCACAATAATTTAATGAATTGAAAATGTTTTATAATCATATAATTAAAATAATTCGATCTCATGGTTTTTTTCTTTCGTAATCCTATGGTTGTTTTTGTATATTTTGTATGCTATATTTGCGCATAAAAATTAAAGGAAGTTCAGGTCTTTGTAAATTTTTCCAAACAGACTAATGGAACTACTTAGTTTTCTAGCCTATTTGCACAATTGTTTCATAAACATTTTAAAGTGAGAGAGAAGTTGAAATGTCTATATTGCAGATGCGGACGAGGTTATATCGCTGATATTCGTTCTATTTGACGGTTAATTTTTTAATGGAAGCTTTTTTCTTTATCATATAGGCTAAAAGTGTAACACCACTGGAGTCAGGAATTTGTGCTTTTATTTTAAGATTTAAGATTCTCTACTTTTTCTCCTAGGCCACTTACCATTTTTTATTAGGTTGGTACCACTGGCTATTGAGGTGAGGATTGTTGAAGTCGCGATCACTTCTCAACACTTCTCACTAGGAAATTGTTTTAATTAATTTTTTTAAATTTCAATTTAAATTAAGTTAGTTTAAAATCACTGGCAATTATTTTAGATTTCATTCTATTCAAAGTTTCATTAAAGTTCGAAGTCAGACGATCTTGTGCTTATCAGTCTATTTTAATCATAATGGTACTTTTTTTTCTTTGATGAATATTTTTCTTGAAAAACTGAGAAATATGTCTGATTTTTAGATGATGAAATTAAGATTTAATTTCATGATTCAATTTGCAACTGCTTTAAACTGATATTTAAATATCTAAATTTAAATATTTTTTAGATATTTAAATATCTAAAAAAAGTCAATGTTTCGCATGATAAAATCCGAGTTTTGGGAAGAGAATTGTGTCATAGAAATTTATCATTTTTGCCGGCTTGCTTATGGATTATGAATTACTTATAGATTTAGTTTTATAATTTTTGCAATTAAAGAAAATAGTTGAAAAAAATCTCGTATTTATATTCTTATTCGTTTTAGTTTATCGCTGCACGAAAGATGAAATATTTATTATTTTTTTATTTAAATATTTTCAGCCAAAACATAAAAAAAAATGGATTAATGGAAAAAATATTGTAAAATTTCGTTTAGTTCCTCATAGTTCGAAAGGAAATAAAGGAGAAGAAAGTTGCGATGAAGAGCGATCCGCTGTCAAAAAAAAGGCTTTTTTTCATTTGATTTCTTTAATCGTTTTTTTAATAAGAATATTTAATTTGATAATAATAATAAATATCTTCTTAAAAAATTTTGGTGATATTTATTAGTTGAATGAGGTTAAAGTTAAGCTTTGGCAAAAATTTAAAATCTGAGTGGCACTCGAGATTGTTTTCATCCTCAAGCAACTTTACTGCGAAATGATATTACCATAAATAGTCGAGCAAATCCAGAAATGGTAAGCATTGCTAGAAAAATATTTGTGATATTTTTCAGGATTTCGAAGAGCATATGAAATATGGAATTTTTTTCGATGATGATTATGATTACATGCAACATTTACGAAGTCTAAATGAGGTTTCTAGTTTTTTTTTTTTTTTTTGAATTAAAATTCTGCACAAATTTTCGAAATGTTTTGTCACCATTTATTCTCACATTTTTGATTGAATATTTATAACGTAGTTTTTAATTAATGATAATTAATAGGTAGGACAATTGGAGGAAGAAGAATGTACAATCATAAAAGTCCCAGCAAATGAAACAAATTTGCCTAATGCTATTTTTGAAGTAAATGGTGTTGAAATTAATTTTAACAAGTCTAATCAATCTGCAAATAGAGGTTCTTCAAATTTAAATTTTTAAATCATCCAGATATAATTTTTTTGGTGAATGATTTCTTTAAAGATGTCGTACCCGATCCTGAAATAGTTGCTGCTCTTGATGGTAATTTCGATTTCGACAATCCTGAAAATATTCTCGAGGATGATTTTATTCTAAAAGCTTGTGATGGTGAACTACCACCTAAAATGCCGACAAAATCTATTAGTGATGCTGATTTTGAAATAAGGCATCCTGATACAAGTAGTGAAAGTGATGATGAAAATGATGTCAATGATGAAATGGATTTCGATGATTTCAGTGTGGAAATGGAGGGTTAGTTGTTCAAAGATTTTTAACTTTTATTCAACCTTTTTTAGAATTATTGATAGAAATTTTTGTTTGAAATTATTTATTTGTTATTCTTCTATGAATGTAAAAAATGTATATAGAAAAACAAAAGAAAAGGCTGCAGCAATCAAGAATTTGTCCCAAAGCTGAGGAAAATTCTGAAACTCAGTGGATTAATGATAAATTTGAACGGCTATATGAGGAATATGAAGATGAATTCGCTGAGGTATATATTTCGATCATTTTGTTATTTTGAATTATTGAAATATTTTAAGGGTTTTTGTTTGAAGTAAATTATTAAATGAGCATATATGAGTGCATTAAGGTCACCATTTGCTTCTATTTAATATTAATTTTTGAATTTATAGATTGAAAAAAATGGCATCGAACCGAATTCATATCGAATTAAACAGCTTGCTGATGAATTTAAGGGGAAAACAATAAATGCGGATTTTGGTTTGGTAAAATATTTCTTCAGTTATATTAAATATCTTAATAGTAATTCGTTGTTTTAGTGGCTGCATCCGAAGAACTGTGATCGCAGCCTAAAATTACGAGATTTCTCAAAACTTATTTCATTTTTTGCCAAAATTTTCTTCGCTGAAAATGGTCATTCTTTTAATACCCAAAAGCCTCCTATGATCAAATTCTCTTTCTCTTTTATATTGCATAACCATCTTTTCAGATAGCGTCTATTTTTTACTTTTTCGGAGCCTATTATGTCCTCTTTTCTCTCTCTTGAAACCATTTTATTTTCTTCTAACACTTTGGAAAAACACAACTTTGTTTTTTTATCTGCAAAATTCACCGATGAATTTCTATAAATTTCTTGTAGAATAAGGACTTGATGAGTTTGAGAAGAATCTAACGGTCACGATTTAAAGTTTGTTAGAGGAAGACGAAATGAAAAGATTTTGAAAATGTAACTAGGGTAATTTCAGTAATTTGAAGAGTAATTTGATCTGAGCAGATCTTATCTTTTTATATTTGTATTTGTAACATTACTAATTTTGTTATAATAGTAAGATTTAATATTTATAGTAATATTAAAATACATAATTGAAAAAATATGATCTAAACTTTCATAAAATCGGACCAACTTTTTCTTGCTTTTAAGGTTGATACAGATATTCGGAATTCAATTCTGGCAGCTGATGCAGTTGATTCAAATGAGGAATTTAATCAAATTGAAGTTGAAGCTAGTGGACCTAAAAAAGTGGATTGGGACTGTGAATCAATTCTTACTACTTATACCAATATTTATAATCATCCAACTATTATAAAAGATCCTTGCAGAAAACGTAAAATAAAGCCTTCAAACGACATTGAAGTGAATATTAATGCATTTTGAAGCATTTGTACTTGCTTTGGCTTCTGATTTTTTTTTTAATATTATGGAGCATTTGATGATTAATGAAATATTCTCTAGTTAAATTAATTTGGTCATCATTATATATAATGCACAATACTATATAATGCTACTGCTTCAATTATATTTCACCAATTTTTTAGATGGTTGACATTGATTCACAATCATTAGCATCAACTCGAACTGTATCGACTATGAGACCACCTGGTGAAACATCTGAAGAACGAAAATTGCGAAAAAATGCAATAAAAGAATTGCGTAGAGAACGACGAGCAGAAAAGAAAAGTAATAAGTTAGCATATAAAAAAGAACGATTAAAACTTTTTCAAAGTGGTACTCAAGTGAAAATGAGGCGTTTGGTTTGAATATTTGAGAAAATTTCCGGTTTTTTTTTGTTTTTTCTATATCAAATATTTCTAAGTTTCATGGTTTTATATGAAAATAGAATAGAATACATGTTATTTCTACTGTTTTGTTTATAAAATCTTTTTTTTTAAAGTCATTTAAATCATTGGTTACCACAAAATTATTTTTAGCGTTTTTTTTTTATTCACTTGGTTGTTTATAATGATTTTATAGTTTGAAAAAAATTGTGATATAAAATATAAAGTAGTTGGCAAATTCAATTGTCATCCAAGCAACTTTTTTTTGCTAAAAGTTAATTCATATCTTTTCGAAGAAATAACATTGTAGTGAAAAATAACCGAATTATATTTGCTTGGTTGATGGTACTTTTGAAAAGAAAATTATTTCGAAAAATTATTTTTTTTTCATATTTAAATGTAAGTTTGTTTGAAGAATGGAATGGAAAAGAATTATTATTTCGTTGAAAATCATTATTTTTATTTTTAATTGAAATAAAGTTTGAAATAAAATTTAAAATAAAAAACTTGAAATAAAGTCGATTTAATTTTTTCTTCTTATTATTTGGGTTTATTTTTACTCTCTTTTTGATTCCTTTTTCTAAAAATTAAATTGATTCGTTGCATGCGAAGATTTTTTAATATTATTTATATTAATTATATTATTTAACATTTAATTTTCAATTTTAATATTTTAATGGTTTTTGATAATTTAAAAAAAAAAGTGTGTATTATTGGCGTTCACCACTTTCTACGACTTTATGAGCGGGTATGTTTGAGAAATTTTGCTTGGTGAATCATTTGGGAATAGAATTGGGAATTACGGCCAGTTCTCCCATACCGAAATGGGGATTTTATCATAATGTATTCACTCCTGTTGGTAGCAGAATTCTTAGTGGTAATTTTTGTTAAGTACGGGAGACTTTAAGTTGGTCAACAGGTTTTTTTTCCATATATTCCCTAGACTATTCCATAAAAATCCTTTAAATGTTTTTAAATTTTGTAAATAAATATTCATTAATTTAAATATTCATTAATTTATCTATTCATCAATTTATTTAATAAATATTCATTAAATATTAAATATTCATTAAAATTTTCCATCCAAGAATTTTGAATAAATTGCATAAAATAATTCAAAATAATTTATAATTTAATTTAATAATTTAATAAAAATAAAATAATTTGAATAAAAATAAATATAAATAATTTAAGTAAAAATATATTGTGGAATTATATAATTAAAAATATAATTAAATATAAATATAATATAATTGAAAAACATACAAAATTAATTTATTATCATTCAAATGAAATATTTCGAATTTCGAATTAGGCTCCTAGGATTGGATTAGCCATGGTCGCCAGGAAGTCCATAAAAATCAGTTCGATAACCATTGATTAACAATGATTGACATCGGCAAAAGGCGGTTCAGTCGTCATCATATTATTAATTTGAATCATTCGTTATCGTTGTTATCACAATGTAGACTGATAATATCAATTTTTACCATTCTTTTAATTTAATATATATGTGAATTTTATGGTTAACTTGTTGTTGTTTATGTCGAATTATTTTTGTTTTTATCGAAATATTTTTGTAAATTCATTAAATATAGTTTACTAGTGAGGCATTCGAATAGAAAAAATTTAAAGGTGTCCATTAGAAGGGTTCTTTTTGAAGGAAACCTTTTTGAAGAAGAATTTCCATCATTTTTGGCTGAATTCATCCTGGTGGCTTGTTGAATCAAAAAAAGGGCAAATTTTATCAACGAGTCATTTGAATTATATGTGAATCGTCCAACAGTAGTCGGATTGATGAACGATTCCATCAAGCAGAAAATAGAACCCTAGTAATAAGCGCAACAACCCAGCGAGCCATTCTGTTTCCAGAAGCAGAAAGATTTCTGGAATTCCTAAATGTTATTTCATTTTGTCGGAACCATTTGTTTGCGGTAATTGAAAAATTCGGTATTGGTGCAGTTCATTATTTTGCAAGCCTCATTTTCTATCTTTTTCAACGATTTTATCTATGAGCTCACCGATATTTCAACCGATGAATATTCTAAAAATATTCATTGGTGAATATTAGGAATTTGAAAGGTTTGTTTGTGTTTGCTCAACAAAAAAAAATGTTGACCTATTTCTTTTCTTATAAATCTAAATTTTTTTGATTTTGTAGTACCATTATAATTTTTATGATAATTAATTCTCATAGTGGTTTCAATTTCGATATTTTATTTCATTTATTTTTAATATTTATTAAAAATATATTTGTTCAACGAAAAAACTGGTTGTTGCCGAAATTCTTCGTAAAATTTTTCTTCATCGTCTTTGTCGTCGTCGTCGTCGTCGTCGTTTTATGGATTCTATGGCTGCTATAGCATTTTATTTTGGATCCTTTACGAAAGATCGTAATTTTCATTGTTTACCGCATTTCCCATTCGGCGTTATGCTTTTTATTTCTCGTATCGAATTATTGTTTAAATATTTTTTCGTTTTTCGTCGAAGCCTATTAATATATTTTTAATAAATTTTTATTAAATTTTTATTATTCTTTTTTTTTTTAGATTTTTATTGAATATAAATTTAATTTTTTAAAAGTTTTTATTTAATGTTGTTATGGATTTTGGTAATTATTTTTGATAGTCAATTAGCTGTGTTAGTTGATTGGAACACCGATATTGTGGCAACGAAAAATGAACTCATGCAAAGTCGAAACGATGCATTATGGCAATATTTTGATAGTATTGTGGAAAGCGATGAATTATTTAAATCACGAGATGCTATGAAAAAAATAATCGGCGAATTCAAAGATGTCGATCGCCTAAAGTAAGTTATTTTTTAATAATTAATAATTATTATAATTGTTTTTTATAAGCTATTTTTTAATAATTAATAATTACTTTTTATAGTTTATTTTTTATAATTAATAATTATTATAATTATTTTTTACAAGTTATTTCTTATAATTATTAATTATTTTTTATAGTTTATTTTTTTGTAATTTATAATTATTGTAATTATTTTTTACAAATTATTTTTTATAATTAACAATTATAGTTTATTTTTTATAATTAATAATTATTATAATTATAATTGTTTTTACAAGTTTTTATAATTAACAATTATTTCTTAACAATTATAATTATTAATTTTTTTTTTTAATTAATAATTATTGTAATTATTTTTTACAAGTTATTTCTTATAATTATTATTTATTTTTTATAGTTTATTTTTTTGCAATTAATAATTATTGTAATTATTTCTTACAAGTTATTTTTTAATAATTAATAATATTATTATAATTGTTTTTTATAAGTTATTTTTTGCAATTTCTATTTTTTTTTAAAAATTTCTCTCTTATTTTATGTATTAATCTTTCGAAATATTTTTTAAAAAATATTTTTAAGTTTAATAATTAATAATTTAATAATAATAATAATTAATAATTAATAATAATAATTTTAATAATTCTTAATAAAATTTTTAATTTTATAATTAGTTTAATCTAATGAAAAAACTAAAATTTAAAAACTAAAAATTTTATAGAATGGTGAATCACAATTATGAAACGATGACACAATGGCTAAATGATTTTGCAAAACGTTTTCCTAATATTACATGGCTCTATTCAATTGGTGAAAGTGTTGAAAATAGAAGTTTATGGGTTTTATGTATTTCGAAAAGTCCAAAAATTCATCGTGTTGGCGTACCCGAATTTAAATATGTTGCAAATATGCATGGAAATGAGGTTAAAAAAAGAAAATTCTTTTTGTTTTCAGATCAAAATAGAATTTTTTAAAAGACTTCTTCTAAGACTTCAGCTCTCACCATTAGTGGTTAGGATGGTTCCATTGGCTACAAGGCGTTTAAGCCGTTTTCGAGCTGTGCGATTTAATACCGTTGTCGACTGTTATAGAAGCCGTTCCTCTTTCTATTGTCTAAGTCCGTATATCGCTGATCATCTTGTATAAAATTCAAAATTTTTCAGATCAAAAATAGAATTTTTTAAAAATTTTTCATAAGATTTCGAGAAATTAAAAAACTCTCGTTTTTTAATTTTTTCAGGTGCTTGGGCGCGAAGCGCTTTTATATTTCGCTTATGTTTTATGTGAAAATTATGGTAAAAACGAATATATTTCGAGATTAATTAATAATACCAGAATTCATTTAATGCCATCGCTTAATCCCGATGGTTATGAAAGAGGTTTTGCTGGTGACAGAACAAGTGAAATGGTAAATTTTTGAATCTAAGGATTTAGAAATTTAATAGAGAGATTTAATTTTATTTTTGAAATTATGATTTTATTCATAGTTATCGTTATAGATCATTGTTTATTTGTAGTTAATAATTGAATTTCATTTAAATTTAGGGAAGAGCCAACGCTAACAATATTGATCTAAATCGAAATTTCCCTGCTAGATATCCGTGGCATAAAGAAAACTCTGGTGGAACTTCTTTGGAAAAGGAAAATGTTGCAGCTTTAAATTGGTTTCAGCAATATCCATTCGTCCTTTCTGCGAATCTTCATGGAGGTTCATTTTATTTCATGGAATTAATAAATGAAAAAAACTTCTTCTTTTTCTATCATTGATTAGGCTAATCTCGTTGGCTGTAAAAATAAGACGTTTCCAAACTGATTCAGAGTTTCTCTTTACTGTATTAGTTTTGATTGATGCTTTTAATTTGTAAACGAGATATGCAATAAACGACGAAGAATATGTAGACAATACTCTGCTATTGTTAAAGTAGCTGGTGTTTGTTTGCAGTTGGAGTTCCACGTAGAACTTTTGTTGCTCTCATCGACGAGCATGTAAGAGCATGAACATTATATTCTTAATTGAATTTTCATTTGCCAATACCGAAAACTTTTCATAATTAATTCATTACATTACATAATTATACTCTTTTATAGGTTCATTGGTGGCAAACTATCCTTATGATGATTCAGATTCGGGAAAAGATGGTATTTATTCTCCCACGGCTGATGATCGACTTTTTACAGCACTTGCTTATACATATGCAAGATCTCATACAAAGATGTGGAAAACTGGCCGACGGTTTGTTTTCTTAATGGTACGATTTTCAAAAAATATTGCCATTTGAGAATGCTAACGTTGCAAAAGGGTTTAGCTGAGAAGCTTTCGTCAAAGATTGTGAAAGATCTTCAAATCTCCAACGTTTTTTTCTCTATCGACTCTTAACAAAAAAATTATTTTTGAGTATCCTGACTAGAATTAATTTAAGTTTTCCCGTTTTTCTTTAGTTAAAAATTATGAAATTCTTGCATTATTATTAATTATTATTATTAATTATTATTGTTATTTGTTATTATTTATTATTATGTATTGTTATTTATTATTATTAATTATTATTATTTATTATTTATTGTTATTCATTATCATTATTAATTATTATTATTTATTATTATTCTTTATTATTACTTATTATTATTGTTCATTTATTATTATTATATTGTTTGAAATTTGTATGAAATTTTTGAAAGAAGTAGAACAAGTATATCTTAAGTGTACAAGAACTAATTGTGTCAATTGATCGCACGATTCCTATTGACTCCTTTCAAAATTCCATTTATCTCGTTGAGAAAATTTTAGTTATTATTGAACTTGAAAGCGTGAAAAAATATATTCGGCTCGGGAATTTTTCTGCTTGAGCGATGCCTTGTCAGATTAGATTGGAACTAAGTTGACAATCTTTATTGTGTGAATTTATAACTTGTCTTCCTTCAAAATCCGTGAATCTTTCTGTTATTCTTTTATTTTAAATTTTAATTTTAAATATTCTAAAAATAGGCTTATGTCGAAACAGACTCATATCGAATCATAATTTATTGTTAACATATGGATGATAAATTATATAAGAACGGTATAGATGTGGATTGAATATATATGGTGATAGCTTTTCCAATGGTATAACCAATGGAGCTGCATGGTATCACTTGGCTGGCGGTATGCAGGATTGGCAATATATTCATTCCAATTGTTTTGAAATAACAATTGAAATGGGCTGTTTTAAATTTCCTTATAATCAGATGTTACCTCAATTATGGGATGAACATAAATATTCATTATTTGCTTTCTTAGAATTCGTGCAAAGAGGTATTTATTCATTAATTTTTAACTTTTCTATTTTTTATTTATTTTTTTTTTGTGCCTTGTTTTATGTTATTTTTTTTTATGCCTTAAATTTAGAGGTTAATTTAAATCATACAGGGTGTTTTTTATTGTGGCTATCATAACTGTTAACAGAAATCATTTTCATTTTTTTTATTTATTTAGGAATAAAGGGATTCGTTTTTGATATTTTGGGTAATCCAATTGCAAATGCCATATTATCAGTGAATCAAGGAAAACAAATCAAAACTACCACTGACGGTGAATTTTGGCGTATTTTGTTGCCAGGGAAATATGAGGTATGTTTTATTTTTGTTTAATTTTGTTGTTGCTTTTGCCAGAATTATTTGCAAATTTTAGTATAAACCCGATCTTCTAGAAGCACCATAAGTTCGTGAATATTTTTAATCTTATATTTTGAATAGATTCGAATTTCTTATTTTGTCACTCCATTTTGAACGATTTGAGGAATTATATTTATCATTATTTTATTCACTCATGAACCATGATTTCCAATTTTTTTTGACTTTAATTCCTTGTTTTCGTCACAAAATTTTTTTTTAAAAATATCATATGACTAATAATTTTTAGATAATAGCTGAGTTTAATTAGTTTAATTAGTTCTGTTTTCATAAAATTGCAGGTAAACGTCTCCCATCCCAAATTTCAATCAAAATTATTAAAAGTTGAAGTCAAAAATGGATGGGCAACTGAACTTAACGTAACATTAGAAGCTAAGACATGCCCATTAGGTTTGCTTTAAAGCTTATTTTATATATATATATTTTTAATTTATTTCTTTATGATCAGCAGTATCTTATTAGTGTTGCAAAGAAAAAAAGCCACTTTTTTGGTTATCACTTATTCAGAGTTAGTTTTACAGCTTCGAACGGAATATATTTGCAAGGATCAGGGCCAATTCGTATTGCTGTTCTTGGAATTGATTCCTTCAGTAATGCGGTTATATATTCAATGTTGAATGCTACATGTAGTGGTAGCAAATTATTTGAGCATTTCATTAATAATACTACGGTTCATATTTTGCTGCCTTATACATCTTCGCAACATTTATCTTATCTCAAGGTTTATTTATTTGATAGTATCCAAGTTTCAAGAAATTGTTTGTTTGTTTTATTCATTTCGCCATTTAAGCTATTATTTATCATAAATTTCATTTTTGAGAGAATAGAAAAATTTTTTTACTGAAAAAAAACTGAAAAAAGCTTATTATTTATCTATTTATGCCATCATAAATTTTTTTTATTTCATTAAAGAGTCACGAATTGGATGTTATTTTTATCCTCAGTCAAGGATTGCCGAGATCGTTAATTTTCAGTGCTAATGAAAACAATCCGCCAGCATTCAACAAGTCAAAATTAGATTATAGTTTTAAAATGTATGTATGTATGTTTACTCTTTATTAAATTTTTTCATATATATTTTTGAATATTCAATTTATTTGAGATTAATCATCCATATTCAAATTTTTTTATTTAGGATATTTTCTAATGAATCTCCTATATGTCGAAATAATTTGTTGGATTCGAAGGTATCTTCGATGGTTGATTTGATAGGACTATCAAAAGCATTTGAAATTGGTATATCTCTTGGTTGTCCATCAAATAATAATACTGATTCAGTTATTGCTTTAGCAGCTACACTGCAGGTTTGTTTTTCTTTGTTCATTGTTTTCGTATTTTGTAGCTTTATTCATTTATTTATTTTATTCATTATTTGGCATATAAATGCGTATATTTATTTATTAGACGATTTCTGGCTTGTATAGAGAAGCGCAAAGCAAAGTAACGGAACATTTTGTTCCAACCGACCACTCTTTACCTCCTGAAACCTCTGTAACAAATGCCAGAATTGAAAAAATTCGCTGTGGTTCATTTATTGACATCGATGATATGAAAACAGTGATTATCGGATCCGGGCGTGGGCCGAAAATATTGCTAATGTCTATTGAAGAGGTCTACTTTTGAAAATATAATATTGATAATACAAAATTTTATTGCATCACTGATCTTCGAAAGATTATTTGTTGTATATTATGAATCCTTTCTATTTCAGAGAACCGAAACTTTGGTTTATAAATTGGCTTCACAATTTTGTATGGACGAGAAATCCAATGTTAATACTAAATTATCTGTCTTAACAAATTCATCGACCATCATAGTTGTTCCAGAACTTGCCCATCCTCAGTTGTATTGTCACGATTATAATTCGGTTGCACCACTAGAGCTAATGTTGAAAAAATTTCTGAATCGCTTTCCGTCTATAGATTATATCATTATGTATGCTACGGGTGGACTTAAAGTTCGTTACATTGAAAGAAGTGGACATGTAGAACGACTGGCAAGAGAATATGTTTTACAGCATAATTCTATGAATCTTGGGGCAGCTGATGTATGCAGGTATATCTTTTAATTGTAATATCTCATTTTATTTATCATGGAGATGATTATTATATTTTTAAAATTATCATCGTGAATTTAAGATAAGTGTCCATTTAGCTTTTTGTTCTTCTAGCGGTTTGGCTGGTCTAGCGTTTTTGCTTTGATCCATTATAACTCTCATGAAAAAGGACCTTTTTCAATTTTCATTCTTGTTATATTGTTCAGGATTAATTTCAAATTTCTTGAGTTTCGCTAAGCTGTGTCATATTTGTGCAGTCCAATAATTTAAAGGAAAAACGACTGATAGTTTTGGCTTAAACCATTTCTTATTTCGAAAGGATATTTCGTCTCTGCTTATACATTTTGGCTCATGCTGAATAAGGTTCTTTTGGAACCTGGAACGATTATTTAAAAAAAACAAGTGATATTTGAAACGGTGTTCCAGTAGTCTTTTTATCGTCAGTATGTCTTAAATTCAATTTGATTAAGACTACTTGTCGTCTGTTTAGTAGATGGGAAAATTTTCGGAGAAATATGCCATATCTTTGGTTCTTTAATGTTTGTTCCAGCTTGTTGCTTCATGTTTTTTTCTAATTTGCAGAAGTTTTCTTTGCTCCAGTCACATTGTTCTTTTTCCCGAAATAGCGAAAAGATCTTGTGGAGATATTTTAAGGGTATCGAGCACAGACCATTTTTAGCTATAGATCATTCTCTCATTTTCTTTAATTATCCTTAAATTTATAAATAACTTAGATTGTCCTTAAATTGTACTTAAATTTCGGGATTTTTTTCTTGACGATTGATAATTGTAATCATATGACCAGTTATTGGCTTTAATTATATTTGGGATGGCAAATAATATTTAAGCTTAATCTTAACTCCATCTTGAGAGGTCTTTTACAATCTTAATAGGTTCCTTATTTTTATCTGAGATGTCACTGAGCAAGTTTTGCAGACGAAATAGTTGTCTTGTACACTCAAATAAACGTTTCTATTGTTTCTATTGTATTCAGTGATTTTAATACGGCCATTGCCACTTGTTGCTCATCTTCAAAATGCTCGATAGGATCCTCAGAGATGTGGCCTTTGATCGATTTTCTGGACTATTGGACCTTTTTTTTGCGAGACCTAACTTGGTTATTTCCGAAAGTGAATCCAGTCTATATTCATTGAGCTGTTATATGCAGATCTTTTATCTTTTATTTAAACCATCTATCGTTCCAGAGATGTTTAAATGATTGATACTTTTAATAATTTGACTTCAACTTATTATTTCATTAGTCGAAAAGTTTTAAAACTCGTCAGTCACACGTTTTTGAACTTTTTGCGGATTTTGGCTCAGTAAGGTTTATTTATGGAGATTGTCAATTGAAGAGTGATAGGGAAGGCATATAGCAATATCTTATCTCGAATTATATCCTTCATGCGGCCCCCGGTCTCTTCTGCTTGTTACTAATTCTTTTAGGATAGATTTTAACAAGTGTAGTTCTGAATAAAATCGATCTTTTTTGCGTGGAATCTAATAACTGAGACGTTACACAATGGATGTGGACGTAGGGTGATTGAGTTATAAACATAATAAACTTGTAATAAACTTTTCAAACATGAAAATCGCGACTGTTTCATATCGAGTTGTTTCGAACAATAATTTTTTTGCTGTGAACTAGATAAAATAACTACTGGAGGTTTGGAGTGGGAGAGGAGAAAATTTTCAACTAGCGATATTTCGATATTGGGTGAGAATCCAAAAAGCGAATTAGTTGTCTGTTCGATCTTAACTGATTCTAATATTTCTTTTCACTACTCCAAAGAAGGTTTTGCCGTTTGTATAAAGTTTTTACTTACATTTATCCATTTTTCTTCACGAGTTTTATTAGACTGATTCTCTTATCTCCAGAACTTCCGACATTAACATAAGGTTTTTCGCATTTGGTTCTCATATTTAAAATTGTATATTTTAAGATTTTATCCAGCTAGTGATTTTATGATTGTGATTTTAAAAAATTTTATTATTTTTTTATTATAAATTTTAATTTTGCCAAAAAAAAGTATTTTTTAGTGATATGAACGCGTTACCGCGCCTCTCATTAAGCGCATTGCATTGGAGTTCAGAATTTATTGCTCCAGATGGACTATTAATACAAACAGCATGTTGCTATGAACAACGCAGTTCGGTGCATCTTTTCGTTGAAAATAAAATACCCCTTTTAGCTGCTCTCAAATTGGTTAGTTTTCCTTTGAAATTTTCATTTTCTTAGTTCTCTTTTGGCCTATAATTTTTTATTTTTATGTTTATTTTTAATTATTATTCTTACTTTATTTTTTATTTATTTTTTATTTTATTTATAGTTTTACGTTGATTTCAACTCATATATTTTATTAAAAACTTAATATAAAATGTTCATGGTAAAATATACATTAACATTATTTAATATTATTTTTAAAAGTATTATTCATTATTATTATCATACAGCATAATTTATTAAAAGTAAACTCTTAATATAAAATATTTGTTTAAAATCTACACTGAAACATTTCAAGTTTAATAGCATAAATTTATCAAGAATTATAAAAATTTAAAAAAAAATTATTCTCTCTTCAGGCGGTACAAGGAATATCTGGTCGAATTATATCACGAAGCAGCGGTACACATTACAAACAATTAGTTTCGATTAATGTTGAAGGATTGCCAAAGAATATTAATTCTTTTCTTGATGACTATTATTTTATTTGGCTTCCATCCGGAACCTACATTGTGTCATTTCATGCGCAGGGTTTTCAGATACATAGACAAACTATTAAGGTTGAATTGAATTTTTATTTCTTGCCAATAGATATTAAAATGTTTTCTCTTTTGCAGTTTATCCATATCTTTTTTTATTCAGGTTACTGATGCTTCGCAAACAGTTTATGATGTTGTGCTTAAAGAAGAGATTCCATCGAGTACCAATAATTTGATTGTTTTTGCTATTGCTTCCGTATTGCTTACAGGCGTTTGCGTAAGTTGAGAATTCTTTAAAGTAGCACCACTTATTTTAAAAAATTTAATCGTTTTTTTTGTTTTATTTGGTCGAAGATAATTTTATTTCAGTTTAAGCAACAAAGGGCCACAAGCGTTATATGCTTGCATTACTAACAATAAAATAAGATGTCAAAATGAAAGAAATTAGTGATAGTGATATAAGAGCGATACAAAAAGATGGTGATCAAAAGCTAATAGTATAAAGAAAAACAATACAAATAAAAGGGAATTACAGAATAACAAGTCGAACTGAATGTATTATTGGCACATAATCGGATGATAAAAGATTTCAATATCATGGATGATATCACGGATTATTTAACCTTTTTTTTTTTAAATAGATAGTGATTATATTGGTTTGATGATAAATAGTTTTTATGATAGTTTTTTAACAACCAATTAAAATTTCCAGCTTTTATGTTCAATTTAAAAAAAGAAAAAGAAAATTTAAAAATTATTCAGAGATTATTATTATAGAAATTATTCATTTTAGAAATAATTTAGAAAATACAAAAATATATTTGTACTTTTTGGAGAAAAAAAAGGTGCGAATGGAGGTTTAAGCGAAATTTGTGTTAATATAAAACTATTTTCAGTTTGGTATATATCGCTTATGTTTTCTTCATGGCGTGGATGCGGGTCGTCCATGGGAGGATGGTTTCGAACGGTTACCTCTCAATGAAACCGATTCTGAATTCTCTGATGATGCGAATTCTGTCGATTTGTGTGATTCTGTGGAAAAGGGACGAATTAGTTGAAATTTTTAGTTTATAGTACGCAATATACTATAATATACAATTTTTTGTGCCTTTCTGTTTATTTTTTTTGTGAGCAGAGCTATAAAATTAATTGTTTGAGGTTATTTTTAGATTTTTAGATATTTTAATTCTACTGGGTGGAGAATTTTTCTTTTTTTTAGAGAGAAAGGAATAAGAGGAGAAGAGGATTTCATTCTAATGATAGGTTTTAAGAACTAACTAAAACCAGTTGTCTTTTTCAGTTTTTTTCTTTCTGGAATTTTTCGTTTTTTATTGCTCTGAAAATTTGGTGACTAAATTTTAGTACCTGATATAACATAATTTTTATTGATTTTCACCGTACGGGCATTTTTTGCACGAAGCTGTATTTGAGAATTGCAATTAAATATGATAGGTAGAATCTATCAGCTTTTTTTCTCTAGCGATCGTAAATTTTTTTTCTAACAGCTCTCACCATTAATTGTTAGACTGACTTCACTGGCTACAAGGGTAAGATGCTTCCAAGCGGCGCAGTCTGATGCCATCGTCGAAAGTAATAGAAGCCATTCCTTTTTCCATCCATATATTGCTGGTCCACCTATACGTTCAAAATTTTTTCTGACCGTATCAGTCCAGGTCTTGATTGGCCCACCTCGTTTTTGACGCCACCCAAGATAAGTTCAACAAGTAATGAAATATGTGTCATCTCTTGTGGAGGTCGACCAGCGAGAGCAACGCTTCGTGATGATACAGTTAATTCAAGTGGTTTTCGAAAGTTGGTGGATGCGATCATGTGATATCTTATATGCTCGATGGATCCGTAATATGACCCTTAGACAAGAGTGGTCGTTTTTACGGTGATTTCACGATGGGTTTCTCCATAAAGGTTTCGTCAACCGGAAGAACCCATTTCCAGCCGCCGTGATCCTTGTTGTAATATCGTTTTTTTGCCTGGTCATTAGATGTTGGAGTAGACCCAAGGTATTTGAAATCGGCACTTCCTCAATCGGCAATGAATTTTTAAAAAGAGGTCGTAAATCAGTGTTTGAGTATTTTTTGTTCCATAATTAATGCATTTTAAAGGCATATCTCAATTTTAATAGTTTTTTTCATTATATAAAAATTATATAACTATATAAAGCCTTCCATAATTTATTATCAAAAAAATTGAAATTTATGATTAAATTTTGAATTTTATGATTAAATTTTTTTTTTCAAATAAAATTTTTCTACGATTCTTTTTTTTAAATTTTCTTCTTTACTTATAACTTATTATTGAAATTTAAATTAAAAATTTAAATTATTTCATTAAATTCATTGAATTTGGTGTTTTTCTTTAAGTTAACCATAAAATAAAGTGAATTATTACAATATAGAAAGTTTCCATTTTTTTATTATTTTTTAAATAATAATTTATAATTTAAATAATAATTTAATGTAAGGAAAAAAATAGGCCTTTAAAATTTATTTGTGCATTCATTGAATTTCATCCATTGAAAAATCACAAAAGATTTTTTTTTAAAAAAATTCTTTATACGATTATAGAAAATGAAAATAATTAGTTTAATAGAAAAAAGAAAAAAAAAAATTGGTTAATCAATTTCTGCTGATAATTCACTTAATTCGCAAATTCATTGTATTTGTTGATTTATTTTTTATGAAATTTTTTATTATTATTAAATATTATTTATTATCGAATAATATTGTTAAATATTCGATTAATATTAATAAACTTTTGCCAAAAACTTTTAAAACTGCAAATATTACATATTTCTAAAGCATTTAATTATATAGTTGAAAATTTAAATTTTTAAAAACTTAAAAATTGAAATAAAAAATTTTTAAAAATTTAAATTTTTATGTATATTGTACAGCTAATGCAAATAATAATTTTTTTGATTGAAAAAACTCAAAAAGATTTAGATTTATTATTTATATTTTTTATTTATTTATCTATATTAAAAAAATCATTTTATAGAATTTATTTTTGAAAAAATAAATTTTTTAATTTTCTTTAAATTTGAAATTTTTTCTTTATGTTAAATGGTAGAGAATTATTATGGTGCTTTTGGAATTGGCGGTGCTTGTGCACCAGAACGAAACGATGAATGCACCATTCTACCGTTAATTGGTTGTACAATACGAATCGGCTGCATACTATGCTCGACTTCACATTCGTATCCTTCTTTTCGTAATGTTCTTAATCTATCCAACTGTAATAAAAAGAAAAGTAATATTAGCTGATTAATTAATTAAAGAGGATTTTGCATAAAATTTATTTAAAAAATTATCTAATTTATTACAAAAATACGAATATAAAATATAAATATAAAAATAATAAAAATATAAAATTTAAATTTGCTTTTAAGATAGAGGAGATTTTACAAATTTCTCAATCATACAATGGCTATTTGAGTTGTTTTATGCACCATCAAACATGTCGAACCCGATGAACATCGAAAACCAAGCTTAGAATGGTGCAAAAGAAAGAGAATGTTTTTTGCAAGAGAAAAAAGAAAATTAGGTTGACGAAGAGAATTAGATGGTACCTAAATTTTCTGCAAAAATTTATGGTGAAAGCGAAAATAATTTCATTAATATTTGAAACATTTGGAACTGCGACTCCTAAACTGACTTCATAGATAGATTTATTTCAGGGACAATGTCAGAGAGATCTCTGTCTAGGAGAGCACACGATCACGAACAGCTAACGCTACTGCGCAGAACCCTCAATCCTCTAGACCTGTGCTAGAGGATTCGAGGATGAGGATGGTCATGACTACCCAAAAGGAAAAAGTTTTTCATTTAAATTTTTTTTGTATTTTCGTATTTCAATAGAAACAATTAAAAATAGAAATGGCAAAAATTCATTCATTTCTTTATAATAAATAATAAGTGCAAATTTATAATTTTATCAATTTTTTTTTTGGTTTTTTTTCAGATATTTGAAATTTCCATGAAATTTAATTGGAATTTCCATGCTCGACTGGTCGGTCGATATAATTTATCAGCTTGAATAATTTATTAGTTCTAATTTAAGAAAATTATGTTTTTTTATGAATTTTCTAAAAAAAATTACATTTCATTACATTTTTCTTCATAATTTATTTTTGCAAAATAACAAATAATAAATAAATAATAAATAATTTCACTAATAATTTATGACTTTATAAATAACATAAATATATAGCATATGTTTCGTATGATAAGGGTTTGTTTTTCTATTTCCACTTTTAGTAAATTTGCACCATTGTTGCTTTGATTGGAGTCCACTAGGAGGAACGTTGGTGACGTTGGTAGCAAATAATCATCGCATTATTTCTAAATAAATAAAAAATTCTCTTATTAACCTGATGTGATGAAATCGATATTGTCGAACGAAATATTATCCATCGTACGGTTTCTCGGAATGGAGCGATTGTTTCAGAACCATCGTACATCCAAAATTCTTTTCGTTTTTCTAAAATAATAACGAAAAATTTTTATTTATCAATTTCTTTAATAAATTTCTTTAATAAAAATTTAATTTTCAATTTAATTTAAATTAATAAAATTTAATTTAAATTAGTAAAATTTAATTTAATTTGCGTTAGGTAAAATTTTTTTTTTAAATAGAATTTTTAGATTTTTTATTTTTTTATTTTTTCTTATTACTTATTTTTTTTTTAACAATTTTGTTTTGCCAAAATTCAACTGTATTTTTATTTATTTATATTTACAAATTTATATTATATTTATTTATATTTATATTTATTTATTTATATATACAAATAACTTTTTTTGCAAAAAATAAAAATGATTTATTAATAATTTTTTTTTTTGAAGAAAATAAAAGAATCAATTTTTCCTGACCAACGAGTGGGATTAACTGCCGCAATTGGATTCGCTGTAACATACATTCGCTTCCCTTATAAACCACTTGCGTAATACCTTCAATTATTGGTAGTAACGTTGAATTATCGTCATGAGATTCCTATAAAATGAAATTCTATAAAATAATAATCTTTGATCAGTTGGTTTTTTGCTCAATTCGAAGTGCCGACGCTGAGGCTCTATTTCCCCACAGAAGTAAATCTATTCAAAAATTCGGTGCTGCTGGAAAATCATCTGTACTTCGATCGTTAAAGGACTCCCTGGCATATTTGTCTAGTATGATAAGCCAGAGGCGGGAGTCTAGCCAGTAATGGTGAGGGATCTTCGAAAAAAAAAAATAGAGAAATAAAATGGTTCAGTGGGTTGTTGCTCAAATTTCAAGAACTGATGGTGGAATTCCCGAGTGGTGGTGCCAGTTCACTTATATTCCTATCGCCCAATGAATCCTCGGCAAAATTTTTCTTAGTTATTTTAATTTTAACTTATATTATTAGCTTTTTAAACTGATAATTTATTCCTTTAAGACCGCTTGGATTTTTCTTCGGTGAGAGATTTGTATTCCTGCTGCTACGAATTATGGATGGTGGAAATGATAATCAAACTAAATGATAATCTAAGCAAACCACTATCATTCAGCGTTACTATAATGTTAAATTTAAAATACTGTCTCTTTGTCCGTTTGTCCGTTATATTGTCCGTTTCAAGTACCATTCTAGGTTTTTCCTTTTCTTTACACTAATGCTGCGATTCGTTATTTTGTGAAAAATTCAAGTGTAAAATCTTTTTCAATGAATAATTTCCCGTAAATTTTATATAATTAAAATTTGTAAACTTATAAAATTTAAAATAGAATTTTCGAACTTTTTTGAGGATTATAATCAAAAATATTAAAAATAATAAGATTTAAGTCCCATCCGAATTTTTTTTATCTATGAAAATTTTTTCCCATATTTTTTCGTTTTTTAAAAGCTTAATTTCATATTCAAGTGATATTCGTTGAAGCAGAACGACTTTCTCACTGTTTTAAAAAATTTATAGCTCTTTTAAGAATGAATAAAGACGAGTCGAGAAAAATGCGTTTATTATTATTTCGGTTTTCGTAAACAAATTTCTTGAAATTTTTGAGAAAAATTTCAAGAAATTAAATAAAATACTTAATGGATCTTCAAAAGTACTGCAAACATTTTTTGAAAAAGTTTTGAAATTGTGGGTTATAGACAGAATTTTGAATTAAAAAAAAATTAAAATAACAATTCCTACCATTTCTCCAAATCCTTTCCACCTCCCCTACCCCAGCCCAACAAAAAAAATGCATAATTTATAGGTAAATAGTAAGTACGGTATGTTTCCTCTTAAGCGAATTCATCTATTAATGATTGGTATTTTTTTGAAAAATTTTCCAGTAGAATTTGCATATAGGTACCAATATATAATTTTTTTTGATGTACCCTCGTATTTTAGAATCAACCAAAAATTCGAAAAAAAGGGCAAAAATTTTTTAAGAATTTTTTGGGAAATGTGTATTGTTTGTATTTCATGGAACCGATTTATTAGTTCCATGAATTCTAAATTCTAAAAAAAAATATATGGTTTCTTTCAAAATACTATCTTTTGAATACCAAGTGATTTTGTTTTATACATATTAAATGCAACTAACATTCAAAAGAACCGCAACTGCAACGATTCCGTTCGGTTCTTTGAGTGCTTGTTCTACGGTTGAATATCGAGAATTTCGATGAATAAAATGTATTTCACCGGCATAACCAACACCACCAACTGTATGCTCACTACCATTCATTGGTTCAGTTCCCCAATGAATTAAAATTAATTCTAAGAAATAACAGTCGTCACCAAAGAAACTGGCAGAAAAAGTACCAGATAGTCCTTGCCCCAAATACAATTGAAGGCTTTCACCGGCATTCACCAGTTTCATTTCACATGATTGTGGATAATCAAAACTGCAAATTTTCACATTAGATATTCTATGATGATAAGGTGATGATGATAAATATCAGATATAATATGATAGATGTAAATATAATGTTAGATGATGATAAATGAATTTTTTCGATTCAAATATGATAAAATTTTTCTTTCTTTCCATCTACCTTAGAATTTGTACGAAATTACTTTTCTCGAAATTGTTGATGAAGAATTCAAATTTAAAATTGAGAATTACTTTTACAAAAATTATAATTAACAAATATAATTATTATGAAGATAACTGCTTTAAAATTGTTTAAAATCATAAAAATTAGCAAAAATTATAAATTATAATTAATTTGATCGTTTAAAAAGGCTGCTTTATTTTATTTATGAAAATAGCAAAAAAAATTAGAAAAAAAATTGCCGATTTGAAAAGAAAAATATGCTAAATACTTGTGAATATATTGTTATTTTTATCACGTTAACGAAAACTCATCAAAATATCATAAATATCACTATAGTGATATAAATAAATTATAAGAATGTTATGATTCAGCGTAAGTTATCATATCATTAAATATCAAATATCATATCAAAGTTATCAATACGACCTTATTTAACGAATTAGTTAAAATATTTAAAATGATTATTGACATCCATGGATAAAATAAAAGATTGATTAAACAATTGATATTAATGGTTTAGAAACGAAGGATCATTTATTTTCTGTTTCACGAAATTTTTTTTCACGAAAATTCAGATTCATAATTCATAGAATTCTTCAATACAAAGAAAAAAAAAAGCTAATTTCGATGACAATTTAAATTTATGGAAATTTTTTAAAGATTCAAACAAAAAAAATTAAAAAATTATTCAAGAAAAATAGAATTTCAACGAAATTTAGGAAATTTCTGGAAGAAATCGTAAAAATTTGGAGTATAAATGAAAAAAAAAATTTATTGAAAATCGAAAATTACTTAAATGACGCTTCTTCAAGATTGATGTCATACGCAGTAATTGATGGTAGAATGTCAATTGGTGATTGCTTTCGATCACCAGTAACCTAAAATAATTTATTTTGAACGCAAATTTAAATTTAAAATTTATTTTTAAAATCATTTAATTGTTGTAATTTTTCAAATTATAGAAAACAAATTTTTAAAATTTAATATAAAAATTTTTAATTTTATTCATTTTAATTTTAGTTTTTAAGTTTAATTTTAATAATTTTTTTTTAATTCATCGCTCTAAAAATAAATATTTTTTATTTATAATATATTTATAATATATTTTATTAATAAATAATTATTTTGAAAATATATGAAATTTTCTAAAAATAAAAATTTTTATTCGTATAAATAATTTATTAGATATGAAGAGAACCTGCAATATTTTTCCGATATTATCTAGTTGAGCTGAAGCTCGATTAATCATAGGCACTAAATTTTGACGAGCACGAGTAGCACTTTGAAGAACTGAATTAAGTTGTGGTTTCACTGAGTTCAGATGTGCTTGTACATTTGCTGTAAATTGTCCAAGAAAAGCCATTTTTCACTAAAAATAATTTATTATTAATTTTAGCATTTTACATATAAAATCTTTTTAGTAACGATAGAAACTGCATCGAGAGAGTCATAAATATAAACATAAATTCCGATTCCGATATAAATTCCGATTTTTTTTTCACAGTTTTTAATTAATATTAGAAAATTGAGATAAATTTATATATAAATAAAATTCTATTCATTAATTACGGCTAAACATTCCTGACAAAGATCTTCTAAGGTTCCAAAGATCAATTTTCGAGTGAAAATTTAAAAATAATGACAATTTGAAAAGGAGATAATAAAAATAAAAATGTTTTATGAGCATAAAGCATAAATAATTAGAATAGATCTATCTAAGTATTAATTGATCTGATTAGATGGTGCTCTATTATTATGGTGCTAAGTTTGGAGTGCCGATATTGAGGTTCTATTTCCAGCAGGAGTAAAAACTTGTCCAAAAATTCGGATCATGCTAGCGACTCATCTGTGCTTTTATCGCCAAGGCATTTCCTAGCATAATCCAACGGAGCGAGTCTAACCAATAGGATTCTTTAAAAAAGCAAAGATTATTATTATTATGATAAGAAATTTTTTTGCTAAAATCGCTTGATGATAAAAGTACAGATGTGGATCGATCGCTAGCATGATAATTTTTTAACGAAAATAGGATTTAAATCAACTGTTATCATCTTTACAGTAGTCTATGCATTTTATCAGTCGACTATCGTAACTATTTTAGATAATAATCATAATCGTAATTATTTCAAATTCGAATACGATTTATCAATTTTCATTTGCAACGCTATCAATAAATGAATTGAAATATTATAATTATATGTTTAAAAAAAAATTAGAAATGAAACAAATTGAATCAGACGAAAATTGGCTAAAAAAAAAAAAAAAAAATAATGCGAAAAAATCAAAAGTAAAAAATTTTTTAAAAGACTAATTGCTTTCTTTTATAATGGAAAAGCATTGAAATTATCGAAGATTGTTATGCTATCAGCCAATTGAAAAAAATAAATAATTTTGCTTTATTTCCTTTTTTTTGATATACTTTTTTATGATTTATTTATTTATTTATTTCATTCCAAATTTATCTGTTTATTTTTATTTTTTAGTGTTTTTTGTAAAATTTTTTTAATAAAATAAACTTATTTTTTATTAATATTTAAATATTTTTAAAATTTTATTTATCGAAGAAAAAAATATCTAAAAATGATTTCGAATTTTCACCGAAAGATGCATCGATCTTCACACACCTTAATAATACTATTAATAGTATTATTAATAGTTTTTTTATTAATAATAATAATATTATTAATAATATTATTAATAGCATTATTAGTATTATTATTATTAATAGTATTATTTGAGATTTACGAGTGCATAAATGTTCGAAATGTGTTTGGCTCGAGTAGAGTATCGTCAAAAGTCGAATATCGAAATCGAAAGAGAGTGATCAGAGGTTTAGAATGGCTTAGTGACTTTTTGCCCTCATTTCAGAGCATCAAGATTAGAGTTCCTCTTAGCACAAGTAAATTTGTCTTACTAAAATTCAATTGGTGCTAACGACTCATTCATATTTCTGTAGCCATGAATCATTGGCAAAATTATCATACGATTTTTGCGTTATCAACTTGCTTTACGAAGGTCAATTTGGTTGTCAATTCGATAAGCTGCTATGGCGTCGCATTTGAAGAGAGAACGATAAATGGATCGTTAATATCACTTGGATTTTCTCGATGAAAACTATAATCTTATTGGAAAAAGGCTCCGAATCTTGATTTTTGAGACGATTCTAGTGGCAATAACCAATCAGTTACCTGCCTCACCCAATTAAATATTACTAAAAACTGGTTTTATGCTAAGTATCTAGTGAAATGGTTTTTTCTTTTTAAAGCACTCACCATTATTGGTTTAGATGGTTTAGCTTCGCTGGCACTGCTCGTTGCACTCGACAAATGCCAGAGGATTCCTTGGTGAAAAAAGTATAAAAGTGAATCGCTAGCATAATTTGGAGTGAAACATAAATTTTATTAATATGAGCCAAATTTTTGTTGAAATATTATTTGCTTGATAATTTGTTTGATAAAATTATAAGAGAGATTATCATATTAAAAGATTATCAAATATTCAATCCGAGCTAAACGGGGAGTTCTCTGACGAAGGGGTTTTTTTTTTAGAAATTTTATCGAAATTAAATAAAATTTTTATCACAAAATCGACTTCATCGAAATTCAAACTAAATTAATCGAAAGCAAATTGAAAATTCAGACTGAAATTGATTGCGACATTTCAATAATAATCAAAGCGCTAAAACTATTTATATTTTAAATATTCAAAAGTTTAGGAAAAAAAAATAGAAAAGGGGAATTTGAATTGCCTAAATTGTCTAAATTTTTAATAAAACTGCTCCAAGAATTAGATAAGATAAGATAAAATTTTCACTCAACTACCAGCATAAATTTAAGGAATTTTTATAATAAAAATAATAATATAATTACGAAAATAATAATTTTTATTTGATTCTTGCAAAATTTTAATTAAATTAATATTAAAAATCATTATTATAGGGCCTAAGGCCTAAGACTAATATTTTTGATCAGCATTTAATTGAGATGAGTTTTTACTTTATTGCAACTTAAAAATATGAATAACGAATGAATCCACTTACATTAATATTACATTACATTAATAATAATTAATAATAATAATTAATTAATGATTAAAATAATTAATAATAATTAATTAATAATTAAAATAGTAAAAGGTTGCGAATACTATTCCTCATTGATACCATAGATCTGATAGTAATAATATTTTATCCAATTTTATTATTTGTAATTAAATTTAATCTCTTATTGAAATAAACATTATATAACATTACATAAAATATATATCTAAAATTTTTCAACGAGGCTATAATTTTTATCGCACCATTTCCAAAATAAATTGCCTAAGGGCATTTTTAAAATATTTTTAGCAAAAATTTAATATTATTTTTAAAATTATTTGGCAATATTAATGCTCATTTCATTTCTTTGATGAGAATTCTTTTATTATATTATTATTTTCAATTTTTTTTTTTTCTGGCTTCTGGCTATTATCTCTTCGAGATTTATTTATTCATGTATTAGCACTTAGTCGCTACTGCGTTGCCAGAAATAAATAAGGAGAGAATAAAATCAAATAATATGGCCATCATTATAAATCGTTAAATTTATAAAAAACTGACTGATTATTCTAAAATTTTATCGCATTAATAAATTGATAACTAAAAATTGAAACGAAAAGATTATTCTCTACTAAGATTATTTATTTATTCTTCATTTTCATTTTATTCATTTTCACAATTTATTTGTTTAATAGTTTCATAATGAATAAAGCAAAAACAATAATAAAATATATCGTTGATTTCATTTATTAAAAATAAAAGAGATAGAAATGATTAGAATGATAAATAATTATATCAAAAAAATATGAACTGGAAATAATGCCAATCATAATAAAAAAATAATTAACCAGACAGTGTCGCATAGTGGAGAAAGCAAAAGAGATTAGAGTGGATCAGTGGGTTGTTCCATTCGCAGCACCGTTGTTGAAGTTCCACTTTGGATAACAGTAAATCAATTCTTTAAAAATCCAGGTGACACTTGACAACTTAACTTAACTGTATTTCTAGCTTCAAGCACTCACCATTATTGGTTTAGATGGTTTAGCTCCGCTGGCTCTTCTCGTTGCACTCGACAAATACCAATAAGAATCCTTGGTATATTTGTCTAGCTGGGCATATTTGGCAAGTCAGCGGAGAGAATCTAATCAGCAGTGATGAGCGCTTTTTAAAAAATAAAAAAAAAACTATTCTAATTAAATCATTCAATAAATAGTTATTATCAGAGATTTACATCAAAGTCAACAAAATAATGAATTTTTGGTATTAAATAAAAATGATCGAAGGAACAACATAGTTGCTTTCATATTCGAGAGTTAGTTGGCATTGAATTTGACATGTGCCGCTTGGCAGCCTTTTAGACATCAAATTATTTAAATTATAAATAATTCTTAGATTATTTTTGAGTCTTATCAATCTTTTATCACTGAATTAATCTTCATTATCATAGAACAACTAGTGGAATAAGCCTATATGAAAAATCGTTAAGAAATATAGCATTTGGGCATCCCTTAAAATAAATTCAATATACATGCGATGCATGTTATTTGCAATATTTTCATGCACAATTCTATTAGAAAAATTTTTATAATTTGCAAAATTGTAGTAAAATTTATATTAAATCCTATTATGTATTGCGATAAGGTCGGCTTTCTTTCTCCTTATCTTCGCAGTATTTTTCATCTTCACAATTTTTTGCCATAAATCATTATCAAAACTAATTTATATTTTTCATCTCTGATTTGGGTTTTCTCCATTCGTTTTTATCAATGAGTCAATAGAATAAATCTAATCAACTGAAATATCATTTCATTTTTTTCATATTTCTCAGTCAACTGCAGACAACAAATTTAATAATTTTATTATCACAATTATCATTTAACAACTAGCTTTTTTTGTGGCTAAAATTCAAAAAAACTTATATTGAAAAATGATAAAATAGATTTAAAAAATAGATAAAATAAAATAGAATATAAATAAAATAGATAAATAAAAGTTTAATCAATTAGTCATAACAATTAATCAGTTTAAGATAATCAATTAATGAATGAATACTTCTAAAAGCAGAATTTTTATTATAAATAAACAAAGAGCCAGCAACCAACATTTTTCGTATTCCTTAGGGAGAATTTTATATGTCAAAGAGAATTGGTATAACTCAATTTGAATCAGTTTTTCCTCCTATCAAATATTTCATATGCAAAATTGCTGCTTTTCCTCAACTTTTTATCAACGCCACATTTAGCTTTGCGTTTAAAGATAAATTTTATGTTTTTCATTAATGGTTTTCACGAGAATATTTTAATATAGAAATATTTTTCATAATT